ACATGAAGAGTGAATGAGCATTATAAATTTGAGACTGTAAGAAACTAATCATTGTTACATTCCATATAAATAAAAATGATAATATAAATGGGTAATATAGATGAAAATGTGCGAAAAATAACAATGTATTCAATAATATTTACTGTAAACTCACAAATTATATCTCGGGATAAAATTGTTAAACTGAAGAACCCATTAAACCGGGTGAAAAATCCATAAGTTTAATACGCTAATAACAATACTAAACATGACAATTGATGACAAACAAAACCAGTAAGCAAATCAAAACACCAGCAGACAAACAATTCAAAGAGAATGAGAACAAGACTTTTTTTATAGCACAAATGTTTAAAATAAAATTGTAAACGAAATGTTTATCTGAAACACAGTGAGCAACTGAGATTGGAAGATTGAAGAAACAACAACAATAAGTGAAGATGTCAGGAACGACAACAATAACAATACAAAACCAAAAAGAGGATAGTCAATCAAAACTAAAAGAGGAAATTGAATGAATAAATAAATTGGAATAAAAACGCCAACAGTTACAAATATGACCTAGGAACGCCCGAATGCAGACTACGAACATTTGTGATAATGTTCACGAATGGTAATTATAATAACGAGATAAGTAGTAGAAATAGTACTTACACTAGTAGTAATAAAGAAAAATATTTTTTAGTCTTATATGTGTATATATAGTAAATCAACTGATATAAAAATAGCTGAGTAGCGTGACTGAAACAGATGAAAAATCCGTAGAAAAAACAAGACCAAAACGAAAGAAACCTCATACGTATTCGGTGTTAATTAATAAAGAATAAATAGGCAGTGACGGCTAAAAATAAAAATTGGCTTAAATTTATTGGTATAAAAAACCAAACAAAACGAAAAAATAACCAAACGAAAAAAAACTGGTTATTGCACATAAGTGAGAAATTTGACAGATAGATTTTTAAGGTAGATCAATTAATTGAGAACCTCTTTATTAGTATCTTAAGATAAATGGAAGTAATAAAGGTTAAAATATTGAAGGTACAAAATTGGCTAAATTGGTCTTCAACACTCCAAGCGTAAGTACTCATATACGCATGTAGTCATTCAACACTAACACAAGATGTTTAAAAGTTGGTAAATACCTCAATCTGATGATTGAATGAGTTATAGTTAGATGGAAATGATGAAGACTTTTATATAATTATCAAATTACAATAAAGGGGTATATTAACAAAAGAAGAAATCACATTTCACACCGATAAACAAAGTTAAACAGTAGAACTAAACACATAAGACTAACAACTAGACAGAGCAAGGAACAGCGACACAAAATAAATAGCATCCTAAAAGAAAGCCACAAGAGAGAGAGACACATTCAGAAGTACAGATCCATGGAAATATCTACCATACTTCCTTGTTTTATTTTAAGGTAACAAAACGAAACAAAAAACCGATACAAATTCGGATTACTTTTAGACAGTTATTTTTTGTTTATATATAAAACCTTGTTTGTAAGAATGTAGATAATACAAGGGGTAAATAATAAGTTTTATATATATATATATATAAATGAGAAATCTAATACAATATTTTGGTAAATAATGATAGTAAAAAGATGTAACAAATAAAAACACTATGAAAATATATATACTTTGTCAGATATTTGTTTTGTGGCCAAACAGCAACAATGATTTTTTTTATGTTAGCTTTCTTTATTGAATATATTATTGTTAAAAAAAGATTTTCCACTTGCTGTTCGGATAATTTTTTTTCAAAAAAAAAAAGAAAAATACAGCAAACAACATACCAGAAAATGAGTAACAATATGTAGAATAACCAGAACTAAAAGAATTTTCTGTCCTATAAAAGCATTTTGTTTTGTTTCCAGAGATATAAAAAAAAATCAATCTGATGTCAGCTGTGATATCGAATTCAGTACAAATGAGTAAGATTGTTTTAAGCATCATACATGAATATATCGATATAAAGAAAAGTAGAACAGAGTACATTTTAATCTAAATGGGAAAACGAACTGAAATATATTAAAAAAAATGTGAACAAGAGAAATTTTCTCTTTGCAGTAATTAATAGTCAGTACTTTTATATGAGATAGTACATACCATGAAATTTTGAGGTGATAGAGGAAGCACCATAAAACCAATGACTAAGATTTGTAACAAAAATGTCATCTAACAAACGAAATTATTGAAAATAAAGAAAACTACGGAATAGAAAGGAAAAGAGACGTGAGACAATTAACTGGACTTTAATTTTAAAAGGTAACCAATAGGAAAATTATTTTAGAAAAAAACAGAACAACAGCCGAGATCAGTAGAAACGCGATTTACAGAATGCCTTTGAAACATCATTTACAATAAACCTCTACGAGTAAACAATTCGATTGAGCAGATGAAATTGACAAGCAATAAAAGAATTATGAATGAAAAATGTTTTAAAACACATACATACCAACTCTCCACTCAAATGCCACACTTCACTTTAACAAACCATCACAATCTGGAAGCGCCCTGAATATGGCTTGTGCGTGGAAAGTGAACCATCACAGAATACTATTAAGAAAACGAATTAATGCATCAAGTGGGTAGTAGTCAAAATTATCTGAAGCATGAATGCATCACGAGCCAGCGCAATAATTAGAAAAATTACAAACATACACGTTTACAAAATAAACCACGACTTGAAATCAATGAGAGAAGTATGAAAATCTGCAACTTAAAACAAAGAGATATACTAACTCATACAGATAATATAGGCATAAATACACGACACAAAAGAGATGAATGAAAGTTGTCGGTGTAACATACATGAAATTCTCATATTTCGAGCGTTTCATCACTCTGTCTTACTCAATGATAGAAATAGTGGAAATGCATTGTGAATCACATCCGAAGATATACATTTAACGTATACGAAGAGATGTATTCACCAGATTTAGAATTAAAAATATACACATACTGATTCTGCTTGAAATGACATTTTAAGAAGCAATGTTAAATTGTTAAAATCCATAAAAAAGGGTTTGATTGCTTATTTGTTGCATAACGTATCAGATGGAGAACAAAAACATAGAAACAATATTGCGTAAATGTACTACCATAACTACAATATGTTAAATAACAACATGAAAGAATGTAAGAAAATATATGATTTTTTTGTCTAATTTTTGTTAGATTTTGTAAAAAGTGTTACATTGAAAAATAAATAAACAAAGGAAAATACCAAACAACAAAATAACATTACAAAAATAAAAAATACCCCCCACACACACCCTCCCCCAGGGTTCGAAACATTTTCACCCAGTGTTTAAGCACCAAAACAAAGGAAAGAAAAAGGTAGTGACAATTACCAAGTAGAAAGATAACAAGAAAACATGGCAGCTTGGTGGGGGTATATGATAGAGGCTACGCAATTAGAGGAAACGTCAAATTCATAACAGAAACTAGAAAATGTTTTCTTCAGTCTATATATATATATATATACATATATATATATATAAGATATTGTCAACAGAAGAAATTGAGTAATAATAATAAAAATCAGTTAACAAAAAAACTTTTGAGAGTAAACCATATTACTTTCAATTACTTGCATCCTACCACTCAGGATAGATATACAAGATACATACAACCGAATTGATGCATAAAAGATGTTATATCTATCTTTGGTATGTAAAGCAATGTGCTAGTGCACTTGCATTAGCTAATCATTTTCTTCTTTTAAATGTTGCTTTATGAGAGAAAGAGAACACGTACAATTAAAATAACGTGTATAGTAAATATGTATGTATGTAAATAATAAATATTTATATAAATATGTTTATATAAAAGAATGAAATTAAAAACTAAAAATAAGTATACATCATAAATAGGTGTCTATTCAATGACTAAAAGAAAATTCACCTCTAATAATTAGTAAGCTAAAATGTGTAAAACAATAACATTGTTGTCGATTTTTTATAAACAAAAATATTAGTATATATATATATATACTGAAGATGGTCTAATTAACTATTATCCATACCAACTCATTTATTGGACAGTAATAGTAATAATAATAATAATGATATATAATGCATAAAGAGAGATCGAGGTACCCCACATGTGTTGATCAACTCAATTTTTAAAAAAAACATCAGATCAAACTAAAAGAATAACCAACAGAACACAATCATCGAATGATCACAATGAAGAATAAAACATGAAAACAAAATTAAACAGGTAGATAAATAAAAGAAATGAACAAAACAAAAAAGATATTACATTAATATTATTACTACAACTACCAAGAGTAACATAATAAAGTTGACAAAACAGACAAGAGGTGAATAGAATTTAAAGATATGGAATAAAACTTTTTTAAAAAGAAAAGAAAAAACAAGATCACAATTCAATGAAACACGAAAGAAAATTATCCACAGACAAAGAGATAACAAGAATTCAGAAGAGGAAACTGAACTAAGAATGAATCACAGTTTACAAAAAAAACAATTTCATCTTTTTAGGAATCCAATAAGTAAGTAACCAACGGGATAAAATTATAAAAGTAGGAAGAGGAAACACACACTATTCGAGCTAACTAGTTGATGAAAAGAATGAGTAGTTAGTGATGAGAATAATAGTAACAGGGAATAATAGTAGCAAAGTATGCAATTTGTGTGTCTTCTGCATTTACACTTAGGTCGTTTATAAGATATATTGTATGAGTGCTTATATATATATAATTGGCTGAGGAACAAATCATCAGCATTCGGTAAATGAGAAATCACAGACTAGGAAATGGCAAAAAAGCAGACTGATATTTCAGTGAAAAATATTTTTAAAAACATCAACTTAGGCCTTGTGTAAAAATGTTTTAACTCAGTGATCACTTATTTAATCAAATGAACCCATTTTTGTCAACGGAATTCACTGATTGATTGATGGCTGACATAAAAAAGATTTAAACCGGCAAAATATCTAAGAGAAAAACTAGAAATAACAACAGGCAGAGTAAGGAAAGCACCAAATGATTGAAACAAAAACAAGAGAATATGAAAGGTTGAAGACAATGAAAGTAAGAGGTCGAGATCAGAAGAAACATTTCCAATTTTCATGAAACAAACATGCTGAAAGATATAACAAGCTAACAAATAATAACAGACTTGTATGCGTCTACCATCGATAAAGTGCAGGACGAGGACGTTCAGCCCCTTCTTTGACTAGAGGTTTATGATATTCACGACCATAACGACTGTGTATCTGTACCCAACATTGTTCGCAATAATATTGAAGGCAAGTAACATTAGCGCAAAAAAATGGGGCAAATTTACCCCCACAACGAGTACCTTGACATTCATCACACATTTGATTATCCAAGACATATGGTTTAACTTCAACCTAAAATCGAAATATAATAGAGTAAGAAAAAGCATATTCGTTGAAGGGGAAAGTTTCACGCGCTTGAACAAAAATAACCTACGCATTTCTGAAGTTTGGATAGGTGATGACCTACCACATTTACGACGAAACCCAAACATCTCTGTCAGTTCTGATTCACAACTTCGTCGACTAACTGATCCTGCTGTTTACAACTCTATAAGTAGCTTCAAAACTGCTCAATCTAGATTTCTACTATACACGACATTTATGGTCAAATAATTTTAATGTTTCTTTAAATTAAAAATACTACCTAACCCTTATAAATACGAATTAGATAACGCTATTCACAGTGGTTGTTTAAATAATTGACTTCAATCGATGCGAAACAATCTGTTTCGAAAAACCACTAAATATAGTCAACAGAAGTAATAAAGACGATCGAAGTGAACAGCAATCTAACACAACGAGATTTCCCCAAATGAACCATGATAAACGTGAATAAACGCAAAAAAGAATAATATGTACCGCTTCAATTCTTAGTTAACTAACATGGGGCAACAATCACCGATTAGCTGACTATATGATCAATGTATGAAATGAGTGAAACTAGATGTAATTTGTCACTTTGTTATCAAAAAAGATCGTCACTTATATGTTTGAACAAAATCCTCATTTATAAACAACATAAATTTTTTTCACACTTAGCTGGATTATTTTAATCTATCCTAATTTTCTTATGAAAAAGAAAAACACCTGAAAAAAGTATTCATATAGAAAACAACAGAAGAAAAAACTTGATAGAAAGTAGGGCTACGTCTAGATTCCAGACGAACACCCACGCATTCTCCTTTCAAATAAACTTACCAACCATACATCTATTTATGAATGCTGCTTATATATAATGAAAAGAAATCAATAGGATTGGATAACCAAAAAATGGAGAAATAGAACTAGTCAGTACGAAATTTTTAATCAATAGAAACAGTCTGACCATATTAGGAGGGAGGGGAAAAAACTATTCTACTTTATGATGTTGGATACTAAAACGAAAAAGGGAGTGATAAATGAAAACTAATGTAGAGTTAACTATTTATAAAATTATTGTTGGGGAATGAATCACTGCCAATCAATAATTGTTATTTTCGTGATTATTCTTGTGATGTTGTTGAAATATACAAAAACGACCATGATAAATAAACTACTATTTACAAAAGTCACCAAATAGTAAAAAAAACAAGCAGAGAAGATGATTTGCCAATCACAAGAATGAGATGAAAAATTCAAATTAATACACAACTAAAACTCTGCCATTTCTTCTTTTCATTATTAACTATCACTATTATGGTGATAATTCATTGGATGGGGTACGTAGAATTCTAGTAATTAACAGCTAGTCAATAGTCAATTTTCAGATATTTCTGTTGTATGCGTGTGTGCACGACTAAGTTTTAATCATAATAACAGTCAAACTGTTCTGCAATCCAAGCTGACAAATGAGTATATTATTAATGGGTAAATAGGTTCGCATTGAATGAGCATTAATTTAGATACTTATTGTGTAAAGCTAACGCTCTTCAATATCATCAGGGGTCAAATTCGTCATCCGCTATTTAAATGAACAAACATGAGAGATTTTTTTAAAAATAAACCTTTGAACAAAGTTGATTCAAGATGAAAATTATCTCAAACGGTTTGTAATCAAGATCGATTTTCTCGAAAGAGATACAGTCCTGTTAACAATCCTGAATTATATATAATTGCATAAACTTACTCGTTTATCAATTTCATTATGCTGCAATTGCACAAATCGTGCACTAATTGCAGCGATATAACTTTGTTGATTTGAGAAAGCGACGCGACCAGCACCTTTAGGATATTTCAATTCTGGATCTGTATCTATGCCAGCATAACAAACACCTCCATATAAACGATCCATTATTAGGGCAAGTTCGACTATTTAAAAGGAATTGAAGTAAAACCTCTAAATAAACGAAAAATACCCGAATTATGGAACAAAAATGGGTTTAAACAAACAGGCTACTTTTTAGTGAACTTCATTCGGACATAAACTGCCCTTCTCACCTTACTAGTACGACTAACCTAAACTGTCAACTTTATAAATGAAGATTTAAATCTTTTTATGACAGAACGATTTATCAATAAAAATTTAAAGTCAAAACTTCTCAAAGAAACTTAAGTCTTTGCACATAGCGTATTGTACATGACTGACTTTAAAGAAGCACTTTCCGATATTTTAAAAGGAAAAATATGAAACATCGTCGAAAAACACACTTTGCAGCAACCCTGAGAATAATGTTATCTAGTTAATTTATTGACAACTCAAGGGAAAAGTGACAGAATTTAACCTGTTTAATGTTCCCTTACCATTGCATATGTTCCTGTGGATTAAGGTACGAAGGTCGTTGATTGAGCAATTTATCCAAGAAAGTTCAGGAACACTAAATCTGATGGCAAGCGATTGTAAGACATCGTACAAGCGGCCATCTGATCAAGGCAGACTAGCCATTTCAAGTTCTCCACAAGACAACCAGAAACATACAAGAAGCAGTATCTTTGCGTCTTCAATGTATTACTAAGTTCGTTTCTATACATAGCGAAACAAGGATCATATGTACAAAAGACACTTATTTAACCTCTTTACTTCCTGCGGACTTAATCTAAATATTTTAACTAAATGAATCCTTATTCCGTTTTGTTGACTCCCACTTTTTTTATTTCATAAAAAATCTAACAAATCATTCTCTCTACAGCACCGTTAGATTCTTAACCCATACAAACTTACTGTTGTTTCGATGTCCTTTTCGAATGTGATTACTTTTTAAAATTTATCTCACTATATTAAGCAACCTGATACCACAATTCTTTATCTAAGTTTTATGACATCCTTAACTCACTTTTGATCCAACCTCTTAATATTAATAATAACCCTGTTTATTTTACGCCCATTAATCCTTATCGAAAAGAATATATGTTAATATATTTGACAGTACAGCTCTGAGAATGAAACTGTCGAGAACATATCTCATCACTGAACTAACTATACTCTTGTTTCCAAAACGAAACTGGCAGATAACCACAAAAAGGAAATGAAAATAATGGCAACGATGTTGTTTCAACCACTAAATTGCATATTTAAATAACTGTCTTAACTACCTTAGTCGAGGCAACTGGCTTGAACATAAAAATGTGCCACTCATATCCAAGTACATGAAACGAGACATGGTTGTTGAAGTGTACTTTTACATAATATTTATTGTAGTGAACAATAAATGAAATGAAACATTCAACTGACAATTATATTCTCGCTCATACTAGAAACAAAACAATTTGCATTATTATTATTATTATTATTATTATTATTATTATTACTATTATTATTATTATTTACCATATCGCTAATTCACCCCCTTTCATCCCCAATTTGTGTAACCTTACTTTTCGACTTATGCAGCAGCTCGCTCTTGGTGGAAACTCTGTTCCATCTAAACGATCACTAGTCGCTGTTTGGTCGAAAGTGAATGCTCCCACGGATTATGAATACTGAAGCAGTCTTTCTGAAACCACGTACGCCGTTCAAGCTGGCTTCCTTCAACGTTCGCACACTAATGCAGATAAGACAACAGATAGGGCTGGCTATGTCTTTGGAAGGTCTTAATGTTGACGTTTGTTGTCCATCCAAGACCCGTATTCAAGACTCTAGTAAAGTACTACAAATCCGCTCTCCATCTGTCGCCTCGATAAGCTTGTTTCACGTGCGCTTATCCGGGGACCCTGTGGCATCCTCATCTGGTCTTGCTGGCGTTGGTGTTGCACTGGGGCTGAGGCAGCACTAATCGATTGGGTCCCCATTAACAGTCGGTTATGTGCTGTTAGATTAGAAAGTTCCATCAACGTGAGAAGAAACCGGCTTAAGAAACGGTGTCTTTTCGTCATCTCCGCCTATGCCCCGACAGATTGCAGCCCGGATGCAATCAAGGATGAGTTTTACCATCAGTTAACTGTTCTTCTGCAGAAGGCGCGTTCGACAGATATTGTAGTACTAGCCGGAGACTTGAATGCACAGGTCGGGCGTCTAGGCACAGAAGAGTCGTTTAGGTGGCCGATGGGGACTTGTTGGTCGCAGGACAGATAACGGAGACCGTTTGCTGCAACTGTGCACAGACCACAACCTGTTTCTGGCCAGCACTAACTTCCGGCACAGTCGTCGCCGGTGTGCCACCTGGCGTCCTCCCTCTGCATCCCAAGCCTGGACTCAGATTGATCACATCACGATCAGCTACCGCTGGCGTGGTTGTGTACAAGACTGCCGCTCCTTTTGGAGTACCTATCTGGAGTCTGATCATGCCCTGGTCTACGCCAATCTCACCTTACTTTTCAGTGGCCGAAGGATTGACCACCACCAACGGATCGATGTTAGTAAACTGGCTGCAACTTCTGTTGCAAGTAAGTATCGAGCGGACCTAGCTTCTAGGCTAGCTACCATCCCACCGAAAAGTATGGATGAGCATTGACTGCAACTTCACGACGCCATGAAAATGGCGAGTAAAGCCGCTTGCGGCTTCGCGAAACGTCCCGCTTACAAGCACTGGGTTTCTTCTGGCTCCTTACAACTGATGGAAGCCCGTCGGTCTACTCCGGGTGACCGTGAGTATGACGACAAACGAAGGCTGTTACGTAATGAAATCGGGCAAAGCTTGCGTAAGGACCGGGAAGCCTGGTGGTCGGAGCGTGCTAATGAGATGGAAGCAGCAGCTGCATCTGGTAACTGCCGGAAGCTCTTCCAACTCATCCGAGCCACTGGCAGCAAGAAGTCTGGTGTGAGTGAAATAATCTACGAGGATGATGGGATGCCAATCACTAACATCTGTCGACGTCTTGGACGATGGGTGGAATTTTTCGAAGGGCAGTTCAACTGGCCTGCTGCTCCGGCAACATCAACCAGTTTGTCCTGCCCCCCATGGCCGGTGACGACTGATCCACCAAACGAGGCGGAAGTCCGCAAGGAACTCCAACTCTTGAAGCACTACGAATCACCGAGCCCAGATGACTTACCTCCGGCTCTTTTTAAAGATGGTGGTGACTTTCTGGCTAAGGAACTTACGGTGTCGTTTGCAAAGGTTTGGGAACAAGAAAGTGTTCCAACATCATGGAATGAGTCGATAGTCGTCCCTATCTTTAAAAAGGGTTCAAGTTGTTCCTGTAATAACTATCGGGGGATAAGCTACTTCCGATTGCGTCCAAACTATTGGCTTCTGTCATTCTTCGTAGATTGTTTAAAACCCGAGAACGATTGACTCGCGAGGAGCAGGCTGGTTTTCGTTCTGTTTGAGGATGCATTGATCACATCTTCACCCTCCACCAAATGTTAGAACACCGTCATACTTATCGCAGGCCAACAATCGTAGTGTTTATTGATATAAGGATTGCCTTCGATTCGTTGGACAGGACTGTTCTCTGGGATTGTCTATTGAAGAAAGGTGTGCCTGAGAAGTTCATTAACATCTTAAAGGCCCTGTATACGAACACCTCAGGCAGAGTGAGGGCGGAAAACGAACTCCTTTCATTATTCCACTCAAGCAGTAGGGTTAGATAGTGTCGCCCAATCTCACCGTTTGTCTTCAACTATGCTGTCGATGACGTTCTAGAAACAGCCCTATTAGATGAAGGTAGTGGTGGTGTGGATCTGTTGCCTCGAGAAAGACTTCTCGACTTTGAGTATGAGGATGATATTGTCTTACTGTGCGATAATGCCCAGGCCAAGCAACCCGCACTTATTCAGTTGGCAATCAGTGTTTATAGGTACGGCATGTGCTTTGCACCCTCCAAGTGCAAATTACTCCTACAAGACTGGCAGGATTCCAATCCTGTACTCACCCTGGGTGCTAAGCAGATTGAAGTAGTTGAGAAGTTCGTGTATCTAGGTAGCTGCATAAGTGCTGGTGGTGGCGTGAGTGATGAGATCGATGCATGTATAGTGAAAGCCAAAGCGGCGCCAATCTGAACCATCTTTGGCGCCTTCGTGATGTTAGTCTGGCTGTAAAAGGTCGGATCTACAACGCGTCGGTGAGAGCAGCTTTGCTTTATGCTTGTGAAACCTGGCCTCTCCGAGTTGAGGATGTCAGACGACTCTCTGTGTTCGATCATCGTTGTCTCCGAAGGATTGCTGACATTCAGTGGCAACACCATGTTAGTAATGCACAGGTTCGGTATCGTGTGTTCGGGCGCAGAGATGATAATTCAATTGGTGTCACCATCTTGAAACACCGACTTCGGTGGCTTGGACATGTTTTACGAATGTCGTCCCAGAGACTTCCACGTCGTGCATTATTTGCCGACTCTGGGAGTGGTTGGAAAAAGTGGAGAGGAGGTCATTGTATGACATGGTGTCGTGGCATAAAAGAAAGCTGCAAAGAGCTAGCTTCTGTTGGTCCTTCACGACTCCCTGGCTGGGGTCCGAGAGATGGTGCAACACAGTGGCTAGAGACGTTATCAGATATGGCTCAGAATAGAAGCCAGTGGCGTGTCTGCTGTAACCTTCTTTTACTTTCTTCATAAAGAGTGGCTATAACTTTCCTAACTGAGAGAGCTCTTCTGGTTGTACATTTCAGTTCCCCCATCATTACTCTTCTCCTTTTCTTTTTCTCCTTCTTTTATATATACACATCTTCCTTCTCCTCCCATTCTCATTATTTTGTGTGGCGCATATGTATCCGGTGCTCTTTGTACCAACATATGTGATTAAATAAATAAATAAAATAATAAATTATCTCTATCGAAGTTTTTTCCAAGTAAACATCGATGTTTTCACGATGAAACCAGTATTCCTCACTTTTTTTATTTGTTCTTTGGTAATTATTTCCCAGGTTTTATTTAAAACAAGATTCCATGTGTAAAGAGTAGTTGCACTAAATTACCTGGTTTTATCTATAACC